TGGTTATGCCAAGCAAACTAGATTAGAAGTTTCTAGCTCAAGTTTTCAAAAGAATCATATGGGTGGATGTATATGCCAACTTTTAAGTACAAATTTGCTAAATCTTATGAAATTCTCCTAGTTAAAGAGCATTTAGCATCACGTGATATTAGCTTAAGCAATTAGGGTAATTAATGATGTTTGATACAGCTGTAATGAATGCATGCGGGTGATGACAAGAATTGTTAATCTAGTTTCCATGGCATTACTATAAAGGAAGTTATTAATACTGTTTTAGATAGGTAAACTACCACCATATATTTTAAAGAATCTGGTTGGCTCTGTAAAGTACAGATCTGTCCCGAACAATAGGGTTGTGATCCTAAAGCTAATATTATTTACTATTGAGTGTCACTTTCTTACTTGCTGTAGTTTGTTGGTGTGTAGTGACAAAAAACACCTTAGATGTGAAAAAAAGGATTGAACATGCAACTTAAAAGAATGAAATCAATATTGGCAGCCAAACTAGTAGCTACACTTATAGCATTGATAAGTATTTTACAGCAAATATTCATTCGTTAGTTTTACCCACCATCATGCCCAAAGTTGAACAAAAAATCTGGCCTGGCTAACTAATGAATGAATATTTGCTGTATAATTCTTATGAATTTTATAAGTGTAGCTACCAGTTTGACTTCCAGTTTTCATTTTTTTAAGTCACATGCTCAATCTTTTTTGGCCTCACCTTTTTTTTTTCACACCTAAGTTGTTTTTGATTATATTTACAATACTCCTAATGGTAATTATCAATATGCTGGGTTTTCAAGACTTTACCTTGATTATAAATGTTACAACTTTTTAGTGTTGATGAATGTGGTAATTTAGTATTTCTGTGCATGTTTTTCCAGCACCTAACCAGCAGTGTTCAGCAGTTCAAGCTCCAAGTGAAATTAGCTATCCAGGAACTGTGTGTGTTGGAGATGCTACAACCATGAAAATACCACTCCACAATCCAACCCAGCACAGTTTGTGGTATGCATTCAAGACTGAATCTGTCACAGTGGATGGTTTAGCAGTGAATGATTTCCATGGATCATTCCTTTCACTTCCCCAGCATGTTGAGGTTGAAGGTGGAATGACCCAAGAAGTTATGGTGATTTGTTAATTGATATTAGTAGAGGTTAAGACTCTGAATGTTAATTTTGATACATCTAATCTGTTTTTTGAAGAGGAAAATGAAAAGTACAGTTTGATCGTTAGAATAAGAAATTTTTACATCTTTTATTCTCAACAATGAAAGCATTGTACTGCATGATGGTTTTTTCCATTATCTTTTCTTGGTAGAACTTGAGTTGTGATGAAATTACAATAAAGTTTCTGATTTCTTTTCCTCACCAAAATGTGAATTTTAGTGGTGCAAAGATTATTTAGAGGCCCAATCTATTCTTTGGTCCACTACTTCTGTTGCAACAGACTAATTTTGCCAAATTCACAACTGGTCAGTAAAGTAGGCATCATATATTGGTGGAATGTAAACAGTGTGTTTGGTTTAGGTTTACGGTTCTTTACTCACCATTAATAACCTAAAATATCTTAGGTATCTGGATAATGAGACATACTGTCACAATCAGTTATCCATTATTGTTCAGCAAATTCAATGAAACTAGATTATTGCAATGGGAGTAACAAATCAAAATGTAGATTAATAATGGTTGGAGACGGCTTGAATGGGTAATGAAGAAAAACTTTAATATAAGGTTTTCTTTATTACCTATTCAAGCCGTCTCCAGCCATTATTAGTCTCAGAGTGGGTTCCTCGTCATCAAATCGAGAATGTAGATTAGTCTTCTACATGATCTTTTTTCTTTTTTTTTTCACTGAAATTCATGCTTTGATGAGGAAAAGAAATTAACAAATAAATAAACAGTTAATGAAATATTTGATATACGACATTGCAGAAAAATGTTTTCGTTTATGGTAATAAACATTGCATATTAACTCAACTGCTAAACCCAATTTTCACTGGGTGTAACTCACCTTTTTAGTTTGAGATCAACAAATCATTTGTCCTGTACTATTTCATTATTATCTTCATCACAATTGTAAATATCTACTTTCTTGCTTCAAGTTTGTTTACCTGTAATTGATATGTTTTTTATTTCCATATTACACCTAATTTGTCACATTTAACTATTAAAAGTTTGTGCAGTAAAACTCCATAATATGATCAGAATTTAATTATGAAACAACATACAGCTCAAAGAGTAAAGATTGTTTCTTGATCACTAAATGACTAGCCTAATTTCATCAGAGTTGATTTTTTATTTGATAAATCATTTCAATAGGTGTTCTTTTCTGAGCATATCAGTGTTTGAGATTCCAAACTGGTTGATTTACCCCAGAATTATTGACCCATATAGAGACCCTGTTTTGCTTTTTAACTATTTCCATATAGGGTTGGTTGATGTGACTGACCTTGTAACAAATGTAACCATCAGAATTTCCATACTATAACTTCTATTATGTTTTGTGTATCTTCACAAAATTTGACAAACTTTTCAGTAAGCATTAAAAGTCGTTTGTACACAAAAAGTCAGATGTTTTAATTAAGTATTTTTTACTAAAGATTCCTACAAAAATAAACAGTATCAAGGTGTTGACTGATCCAAGTGAAAAAGGATTTTCAAATCTCATTTACATAACCTCTAAAACCTCCTAAATAACTATCAAATGTTTTTGTTTCAATAAAGCGTTATATTTTATGCTATTTTCTCTACCCTTGCTTTATATGGACTCAGTTGATTTGATCGACCTTGTAACTGCCATAACAAAAAAAAAAAAAGGAAATAAATCTAGAATGATTTGCATATTGTAACAGGAAACTATGACTGTTTATCCTAGATAGTTTAAAGCATCTGTTTCTACTTAGCTTTAGTTTTATTGCCATTTCTACCATGTCTAACTAATAATTCAGCCATAAAAGTTGTAAATCACTTGCTGATAGTATAGCTTAAGTTACTATTCTTTATTTATTTTTCATGCGTGATATTTATTTGTTATAATAGTAGTAACTAAAATGTATAAATAGCAAACTGAACAGTAGGTAGACGTGGTTCAAAGGGCAATAAAATTTAAGTATAAATAGATGCATGCTGTTTTCTATTTAAAGCTGTTTAGGATAAATAAATGTAGTTTCATGTTACAATTTGAAGTCATTCTAGAAAGAAACCATGATAATTTTGATTTCTTTGTGTGTGTGTGTATGTGATCGGTCAAATTGATCAACCTTGTATGGACTTACAGTAGAGTTAGGGTAGAGAAAATAATGAATCAGATATAAAGTTTTAAACACAAAAAAATCAATAAGTATAGATTTCTTTTGATTTCTATGTTGTTGTTTTTTGTGTGTGTGTGTGTGTGTGTGTGTGTATGAGATTAGTCAAATTGATCAACCTTGTATGGACTTACAGTAGAGTTAGGGTAGAGAAAATAATGAATCAGATATAAAGTTTTAAACACAAAAAAATCAATAATATAGATTTCTTTTGATTTCTATGTTGTTGTTTTTTGTGTGTGTGTGTGTGTGTGTGTGTGTGTGT